GAGCATGAATTTTGAGGTTCCCCAGGTGCACAAATGTCAAGATGGGCCTGAAAACAGTGGCCTGGGCTGTGCTGAACTTTTGATACGGATGATGTCAGGATATTCTGTTCTGATATTTATGGCAAGAATTATTAAGCGCAGCATGAGTACTTTTAAAAAGAAAAAATATAAGTATCATGTCTTTAATTATTTGTTCTGTTCATCAAATCTTAGCATAGTACTAATTCCTAGAACGACACAATTCTAACCAGGGCCCGTATTCACAGCAGGTCTGTTATTTCCCCTTCACGCCCCGCGCCCCCCTTTCCGCCCCACGCCCCACTCCCCACTCCCCACTCCCCACACCGCTGGGACTCCATGGTAGGAAAGAGGGTGAGAACTGGCAGAAAGAGGGAAGGACTTGTTGTGAGCCAGTCTGGGGTCGAATGAAAATCCGTGTTTTCCAAAGTGCTCAATAACTTGACTTCATTTCTATCCCTAATGAATGCTCTGGAGGAGGTTCAGTTGCCTTGCCACCGCCCAACTCAAACCTACGCAGAATGATTTTGTTTCTCCGCAGAGCCACAGCAGGGTTTTCCGGATAATTGTGGGGCTGCGGAGGTTCTCAAGGTCATGGGGCGGGGGGGGGGGGGGGGGTGGCACTGCCCTCCTCAGCGCGGCTTAGGGTCTTCCAGGGGTTGCGTGGGGAAGCTAAGCCGGCCGGGGCGCTCTGCCCATGGGGTCCCAAGCAAAAGATGCGCGGCCCAGAAGCAACGGCTTTACCTCCCGGAGGTGGCCGAGGGACCGAGCCTGGAGCCGCTGCCTCCTCTTTGGACCGCGGAGTGAAAAGCAGGGGCTTGAGCACGTGGCCGCAGCGGGGCGCGGTCTCCATGGGGACGTACAACACCCCCCTCCCCTCCCGCCCAACCCGGTGCGTCAGCGCCTGCGGGCCCGGGACTGCTGGACCCGCGTGCGCCTCCCCCGCCTTCCCCGCGGCAGGACCCAGCAGCCGGGCTCCCGCGAGGTTGGGGTCCCGGCTCCTTCGCCGTCCCCCCGGGAGCCTAGGGTGGGACCCCTGAGGGCTTTGAGCAGAGGGGCCGACGCCAGGCAGCGGGACCCCAACCAAGAGGAGATGGGACACTGAAGCTAGCAATATTAAAGGCCTGTGATGGGAAAGGTGGGGTTTATCTTCAGCAAATCCTCAGACTATTTTGATACTTACTAACAATTTTAGCGTTCTACAGGAGGAACCAAAATCAAAGTAAACAAGTTTAAGGGATCTGGAAGTAACACAAAAAAGGGATAAATGGTTTGCTCTGCTAGAATTTTTTTTTTAATCATCGGTAATTAAAATTTGTCTACAAGGAATATATAACATCTACATAATAAATAAATTTTATTCTAAAAGTTTTTTTTTTTTTAAGATTTTATTTGTTTGAGAGAGAGAGAGTGCAGGAGCAGAGGGAGAGGGAAAAGCGGACTCCCCCCTGAGCAGGGAGCCGATGCGGGGCTTGATCCCAGGACGCTGGGATCATGACCTGAGCTGAAGGCAGATGCTTAACCGACTGAGCCACCAAGGCGTCCCTATTCTAAAGGTTTTATTTTAATCCAGGCACTTTTTTTTTCTGTTGCCTTTAATATGTTTAAGTTGTGTGAAAGGGTACAAATGAGATAACTAAAGTTTTATTACCTGAGGCTCACATGGGGCCCCTTGACACAAAGGACAAATGAACCAAATGAATAAACAACGTCAATCTGATGCTCTGTCACTAATCCACAGGAAACAGCTTTTGCTTTACTCTGTCTCAGGACCCATCCAAGAAAAACATGCCACATGGCAAAATTTCCTTTTGCTCTGTCGGGTCCTAGAATGCTAGTTTCCCCACCCTGGAATCCCTGTCCTCTCAACCCAAGTGAAAAGTTTAGACGATTGTATTTAATGTTCTGCTAATTTTCTCATTTTTAAAAGGGGTATCAAAAAGACCCATTAGATAAGTTGGCCAAAATTCTTGGAACTCAGAATGCCAAAAATTACTAAAATCGAGATTTATATCTTTCAGTGGGTTTCACCCTCCCACCAAATTAGATGCTTGTTTCTCTATCCTGGAAACAAGGAAGAAGCATGGGCCTCTTCTAAAATGTGAAGGCAACTGAGGTATGGTTGAATAAACAAAATGTGGCATATCCACACAATGGGATATGATCTGGTCATGAAAATGAATGAAGTACTGAGCCATGCTACAACATGGATAAACCCTGAAACCTTGAAAATATTAAGTAAAAGAAGCCAATCATAAAAAATCATGTGTGATTCCATTTATATGAAATGTCCAGAATGGGCAAACCCATAGACAGCAAGTAGATTACTGGTTGCCAATGGCTGGGGGGCTTGAGAAATGGGGAGTGACTGCCCATGTTTTTCTTTTTGGAAAGATGGAAGTGATGAAAATGTTCTACAGATTATGGTGACAGGTGCACAACTGTGAATCCAGTAAAACCACTGAGCTGTACACTTTAAAAGGTGTATTTTATGTGGTATGAGTTAATTATTTCAAAATAAGCTATGTAAAATGGGAAATTAAACTGTTTGCTGTACATTGTTGGTGTTAGCTGTTGTGATAAGCAATTTATACACTTCTCCTTTCTCCTCATAATCACTATGACTATGAGCTGGTTATTAATTTCATTTTCTGGATGAAAACCAGAAGTTAAACCCAAAGAAGTAAATGTGCATGAATAGAAAGCTAAGGGGCAGGATGGGGATTCAAATCAAGGTCTGACTTTAAAGCCCATGTTCTTTTCATGACGACACCAACACTGAAATGTGCACAAGGTGCAAAATCTGGAAGAAAATTACAGAACCCCCAATTTTATAAACACTGTACTTTTGAGGACTGAACTCTTGTATTCCCAGATTGAAGACTACAGGTTTCTTCAAAATGAAACAATAAAGACTAATTTAAAACAATCACTTTATTAAAAATAGCAAATTTCACAAACACTCATTTACCAATTTGTTGGCACTGGCCATTGGAAAACACACCAGTGTGTGTAATGATTGTCTAACGTAAACTGAAGCAGGGCTGCCACAAAAAGCCTGTGCATCATCAACTTATAACCAACATGGGAATAAGTTTGGTGAGCTCAGGAAGGATAAACCTTCAGCCCTATTAATAACATTTTGCACAATGCATTTCAAGTATAACCCCTGTAAGGCAACAATAGAAAGCATAGCAGCACAACTTCTACATCGCATTTCCTGATTAAGCCTTCAACAAGGCCTAGGCTCCAGTTATGGCAAATAACAGCAAGGCAAATTTACTAAAAGCAGGAGTGAAAACAATCATCACACTGGCACTTTAATTACTTTATTCCTTATTGTGGAAGATGATTCTGCTACTGGACTCAGCTGGAAAAGTAAGGAATGCTGCTTGTCTTCAAGCCACAAGAATGCGACCGCATGTCATTTTAGCTGGTAGAAGTATTTGGAACATCTTGGGCATCTGCCAAATGTAGTTTTTGTCTGAGTTCATCAGTTAAGAAGATTTTCATTCTGTAATGAGTACTTCTTTTAAATCATGGGAAATTACACTCAGGAGGAGCTAAAAGAGAGGTATTAAAATAAAGGAAATATGTTTAAAGGGAAAGTGCCTATGTCACTGAGAAACCTGGATGTGATAAGACAATTTTTAGATATAGTGAAGTAGTTATACCATATCCAGAATTTGAAGGCTTAAAAACAGTCACTAAATCAAGATTATGTTTCAGGTTCTAATAGAACACAGAATTATTTTAATGTGGTAAGAACGATTTTCATGGTAAGGAACTGGTGAGAGGCAAATATGAAAACTTACCAGATTAAAAAACAATCATTTGAGAGGACACCACTTTATCATCCTTGGGAAAACAATTTCTTTGTAAGAGTCAAAAATAGAATCATCATAGGTCTAAAACTTTTCTTACAGTCCTCTGAGTTATTCTTTTTTTAAACAAGATTTTATTCATTTATTTGTCAGAGAGTGACAAAAGCAGGGGGAGTGGCAGGCAGAGGGAGAAGCAGGCTTCCCGCTGAGCAAGGAGCCCGATGCGGGACTCGACCCCAGGACCCTGGGATCATGACCTGAACCAAAGGCAGATGCTCAACCGACTGAGCCACCCAGGGGTCCCCCTCTAAATTATTCTTTAAGAAGATTGTAAACAGGATGGAATTCCTGTTTAAGTTGTGTGAAAGGGTACAAATAAGATAAACTAAAGTTTTATTACCTGAGGCCCACGTGGGGCCCCTTGACACAAAGGACAAATGAACCAAATGAATAAACAAGGTAAATCTTATTGGTCAATAAGGTCAATATTATTCCCTTTCCTTCTTATCATCATTGCCTTTCATTTTCCTTTTTCATCTCTCTGTATGATCCACCTGCTATCCATTTTTTCAAGACCCAATTCAAACAATGCTATGGATACACTGAGAACAACTAAATGCTAGCAATACACATACAGCAGAGGTTGCTAAAATATAGACACGAGTATTGCCATCAAAGACACTGTTGTCCAGTTGGAAAGCTGAGATTTAACATATACAAAAATCAACAGATAATGAAGTAGAATGCTAGTTCAAAGTACAAATAAAATGCTTTATGGAAGTGGTCAGCTTTGGTGTTATTTGATAAGGGAAAGGGGGAGGCCAGAGCAACTCTAGGTAGGAAGTACAACCTGAACAAAGGCATTAAGATGAGCATGAACATGATGTGTTCTTAGACATCCAGAGAACCAGCTTAGTGGCAATGAAAAATAATGAAAAATACAAGAGGATATGTAGGTTGAGATCATACTACTGAGAGCCTTTAGAAAGTCTGACATGGGGGTGCCTGGGTGGCTCAGTCGTTAAGCATTTGCCTTCAGCTCCGGTCGTGATCCCAGAGTCCTGGGATCGAGGCCCGCATCGGGCTCCTTGCTCTGCGGGAAGCCTGCTTCTCCCTCTCCCACTCCCCCTGCCTGTGTTCCTTCTCTCACTGTGTCTCTCTCTGTCAAATAAATAAATAAAATGTTAAAAAAAAGAAAGTCTGACATGGTAAAAAACTTGGTCTGAAATAGGAATGGCAAGATGAGAGTGGTATTTTTAGGAAGAATAATTTAGTGGTATTGTCTAAAGTCTACAGCAGCACTGTCCAAAAGAAATATAATGCACATCATAGATACAATTTTTAAAATATATTTAATTTACACTAATATATCAAAAAACTATCATTTCAGCATATAATCATTATAAAAATATTGAGATATTTTACATTCTTTTTTCCATATTAAACCTTTGAAATCAGGTATACAAATTATAGTTCTAGCACATTCCAATCCATATTAGTTGCATTTCATGTGCTCAGTAGCTACATGGTTAGTGGCTGCCATATTAGTGCAGCTCTAGGGCTGGAACAGAAGACATTTGAAAGGTTATGGAATAAAGTTATGAGGATAAGGAATAAAGGAAGAATAAAAGGCAGAGCTGATGATGCCTGACAACTAACTGTAATTAAGAAATGGCAAATAATTTCCTGCCCACGTTCAGGCTCAATGGCAGATAGTGCCATGACTGAGTAGCAATGTCTGCTATAGTCACAGAAGGAATTTAAATAATCTTGGAGACTGAAATAACAGGGGCAACTGATGACAGAGAGGGAAGTTGGGAGGGAAAGTCTGAATACAGAGAGAACAATTGTTACAAATGAGGAAACTAGAGTTGCCAAACTTTTGCTCAAGGTTACACACATGCTTACCACGATTTGAAACCAAGCAATTCAAAGCCCATGCTCTTGTATTCTATCATGTAATCTTGTTCAACCGTGGTGATTGGATCAAGCAAAGTGGTAAGATAAATAAACTTAAATGTTTAACAAAAACTCAGAGGATAGGAGATACTGATGTGTCATACACACAGAAAGAATATAAAGCATAGAATATAAAGCTCAGAATAGATATAAGGAAAAGAAAAAAGAACTAGGAACTACTAAGAGAAGCCTCGTAGTTAACTCATATCTAATCCTCAAATTTAAGTCCTTCCTGGCAATGATATTTACGTTAATGTCTCTTACAGTTTATGTGGCTTCTCAAAACCCTATTTTCTTCATCTGTAAAATGATAAGTATAATACCACCTACTTACAAGGGTAGGACCAAATACGAAAATGCATGTAAAGCCCTTCATAAAATACTTGGCAAGTAGTAAGGACTCAAATAAGATTAATGGTTGTTATTACTAGATTTGTATATACCTCTCTATTTCTTCATTGTTGCTACTGCATAACTTAGCAATTAATAATAGTATATGTTATTAACAATAATAGTAATTTATATATATATATATATTCTACAGTTTGGAAAATTTCATGTACACATCATTACATGTAGCAATTACCCCATATTACAGAGGACACTCTGAGATGTTAAACAATTTACCCAAAGTTAATTATCAAAACCAAATTTCAAAAATCAAATCTCTTGACTCTACAACCAGTATCCTTTTTAGTATCCCATTATTTAGTCCAAAGGGACTAAACTCTCAAATTAAATTATTTTATAGGCAGGATCATTTCTTATTGTTCTTATAATCTCACACTATACCTAGGACCATGTCCAAAAATGCATTTTGAAAAGTTCCTGAAATAATTGCTCCAAACTGAAATGTCAAAACCTGGATATTTTACATGTGCCTTGGTGATTTCCTTTAAGCTAATCCTATAATACACTTTATATGCATCTAAAGTGTTCTATGTAATGATAGTAAAAAAAATTTTTTTAAAGATTTTATTTATTTGACAGAGAGAGACACAGCGAGAGAGGGAACACAAGCAGGGGGAGTGGGAGAGGGAGAAGCAGACTCCCTGCTGAGCAGGGAGCCTGATGCGGGGCTCGATCCCAAGACCCTGGGATCATGACCTGAGCCGAAGGCAGACACTTAATGACTGAGCTACCCAGGTGCCCCTGTAATGATAGTAAATTAAGTATGGCATTTTATGTCTGCATATCCAACTGCTATTTAACTTAAAGAATGCAAGATTCAAAATTTCTATGGCAATAGCCTAATCCTCAATTCTCCTGATTAATTTTTTTAAAAATTGTTTTAAAAATCCAAAAACAATACAAAGCAAGGCAGAACAAGCCAGAAACACAAAATGGGGGGCAGCATACAAAACAACTAAAAGTTCCATTTGGAAACCAAAGGGGAAGAGAAATGGCCCCCGTAAATAAGAGTAGGTGTCTTTGTTCACTTGATCGAGCTATTCACCAGAAGTTACAATTTGTAAACTTTTCACTGTTGATATTAGGCCAAAAGGATACATGGAAGAATTCAGTTCTTCTAACTGTAACACAAAGAAACAAATTTAATTTTAATTTTTTTAAGAAAAATATCTTAAGTAGATAATTGTTTACACATTTTAAAATAAACTATTTTTCATTTAAGCTTTCTTAAATGAAAAAGTAAAATATTGAAAAAACTTTCCAAAAATATCCAGGCTGGGAAATTCACTTACACAAAATAATTATAAAGTAACTTTAGCATTTATTAAACACAAATATGAGAAGAGACTGAAACCAGATAATAAAAAACGGAGTTTTATAAGGATTCTTTAAAACCATGAATAATTGTAATCATCTTTATTAATAGTTTTAAAAAAGTTGCCATTTTAATGATTAAAATCTTTGGATTACAAAAAGATTTCACATTTCATTGAGTTTTCAGGATGAGGTAGAATTAATCACACCTATTTTACAGAGGAAAAAATCAAAATTACAGAAATGTTAACTAAATTGACAAAGTTATACAGATATAACCAGAATGCAAACCCCAGACTAAACGAAGGCTTTCTGGTTTCAAATTCAGTGTTCTCACCATACCATAATCATTTTCCTAAATGTACTGCAAAATAAGCTTGCACTTATTTATTAAGAGGGACTAGTAAAAGGAAATACTGGCAAGACTGAACACAGTAGATGTGAAATAAAATACACAGGCTTGAAACTTTAAAAGTATGGGCATATCATTTGCCACACATTTACTTATTCAAAGGATAAAGAGAAGCAACAGAAATGAAACCTTTTTGTCATTAGTGAATATGGAAACTATTCTGAAACTAAAGTACCAATTTTTCTTTATGTTTAAAGAGGCAAATTTCATTAACACCTTTCAGTTTAATAATCATACCCCGTGGTGTTATAGATGGGATTATGTCCTCCCAAAACTCATACGTTTTAGTCCTAATCCTTCATACCTCAGAATGTGAGTGTATTTGGAGACAGGGTCTTACAAAGATGCAGTAAGTTAAAATGAGGTCATTAGGGAGGGCCCTAATCCTGTATGATTGCTGTCTTTACCAGAAGAGGAAATTTGGACATGGGCACCCACTCATACAAGGTGAATACCATGTAAAGATGAAGATGGATGGCCATCTACAAGCCTAGAGAGAGGCCTCAGGAGAAACCAACCCTGATGACATCTTGATCTTCATCTTTGGGCTTCCAGAACTGTGAATAAACTTCAGGTGTAGCCTGTCTATAGCACTCTGTTATGGCAGCTTTAGCAAGCTAATACACATAGCAATGTACTAAATTACTTTAAATACCAAATACAGTTCTGTATTTAGAAATAAGTAACCATCTGAGTGAATAACACAAAATGTATTAGTCATGTCATGATCTTCTATATATTAAGATCTTATCATCTATGTACAGAAGTGGGGAATCTTTCACTTTTAGATTTGCCAGCATTCTCAGAATATATGCTTAGATGTAAATATGGCAATTTCTTTGAAATACATTTCTTTAAAAAAAAAGTAGAATACAACATGTGTGAAACTTGAAAATACTACACTAAGTGAAAGAACCCAGTCATAAGAGGCCACATAGTGTGTGATTCTCTTTATATGAAATATCCAGAATAGGCAAATCCATACAGATGGACAGTAGATTAGTGGCTGCTAAGGGACGAAGAGAAGGGAGAATTAAGAGGTATAGGGTTTCTTTTGTGGGTGATGAACATGTTCTGGAATTAGACAGTGGTGATATCTGCAAAACACTGTGAATGTACCAAAAACCACTAAACGGTATACTTTAAAATGATTAAAATGATGAACTTTCTTTCAATAAAAAATTTTTATGAAAGGAATAAAGAAAAAGAATTACACTCACGTCAGACAGAAGCCTGTCCAGATTGGAGTCACTGGCTGTTTTTCTCTTATCCTCAGGAAGTTCCTCTAACTCCCCATAGAGCTCCAAATTCAAGCGAGCTAATTTCTCCTGCATTCCCCGAACATGTTCCATCTGTTCAATGGAACATTCATTTCCTGAGGGAACATCCCAGAACGTTAATGAAGATTAGGACAGTTCAAACTAACTGCCTTGAGGAAAAACTTTTAAATTCAAGGTGCTCACAAGAAATTAGCTTTCTTTCTGTTGTAAATTGCATTGTTAATAACTCAATGTTTTCTGTGTATAATCACAAATCAAATCCTGTTTTCACAGGAAAACAATGATAATCTAAGAAATGACTGTGGGCACTAAGAAAGTCAGATAGGAAAGTTTTCTGTAAAAAACAAAATCATCAGGGCACTTGGCTGGCTCAGTCGGTGCAGCCTGCCACTCTTGGTCTCACGGTTAGGAGTACAAGACCCATGGTGGGGGTGGACATTGCTTGAAAGTAAAATCTTTTAAAAATTAAAAACAAAACAAAACCCCCAAAACCAAAAATCATCCCTTAGGAAAAGAAAATTCTTTTTTTCAGTAGTAATATCATTTCTAGAAGCAATAGCATCATCTAATCATGTTCAATTTGACAACTGCCATTTGAACTGAGTGACCTAACATTTTATAATAATAAGTGAACTTGAGAGTCCTATAAGAATGTGAACCATGAATCATTTTTGCCACCAATTATATATGCCTCCTTTAAGAAATATAAACGAAAATATTTATGATGAATGTTATGATACATGAGAAACCGTGTAATATTTCCAGTTGTATACTCATTACTGCAAGACAGCTTAATTGCTAAAGGACAGGTCTTACATTATTTATTGACCAGAGTTCTCTGAGGTGGCATTATCTGCTCAGGGTAGCTAATATATACACAGTACATGATAAATTACATATTTTCATACAGATAAGTACAGCCTCTACAACCTCTTTTTTTTTTTAAGATTTATTTTTTTAAGTAATTTCTATACCCAACGTGGAGCTTGAACCCACAACCCTGGGTACAAGAGCCACACACTCCACTGACTGAGCCAGCCAGGTGCCCCTTGTCTCTATAACCTCTTGATACTAAAATATTTTTCTAAAAAACCTTGGTTTTCTCAAAGGTATACTACAGCTCAGCTAAAGTTGAAGTATCTTGAATCAATTAGAATTTATGTAAATTATAATTTCCTCCAGCTAGCTCTGTATCTTCATAAATCAACAATATTAAATTATGTTGACTACTGATAATTTTGAAGCTAGTTACAGCTCTTTAAAAGTCATCCTTTCCTCACAGAAAATATCTCGTATTTCCTTTGTTTTTCAACAATTAGTAGTAATCTGGAAGGTCAAGTGGAAGAAAATGTGTGTGTGTATGTGTGTGTGTGTGTACATATGTATATACTGGCAGACATATAAATGTATCAATATACAACATATATATATAGAGAGAGAAAAGGTGGGGGACAACATAAGAGTAGAAATATAAAGAAGCAGAAATCATAAGGGATCCAGGTGATCTAACATGAGAACAGAAGCTCCAAAAGGATAAAAAGGAACAGATGGAGGAGAAATCAATTAACAATAGAAAAAAATGTTCCTTCAGATGAAAATGAGTCGGTAGATATGAAGGACTCACTGATTCCCAGGAAAGATTAATGAGAAGAGTTAAAGAAAAAAACTTTCAAACATGGACCCTTCTAGTTTCATCAGCAATTTATGAAAGAACTCTTCTCTGAATTCCACCAGTAATAGGTATTACCAGTCTTTTAATTTTGCCGGTCTGTTCGTATGAGGTAATATTTCTTTTATTACTATTGCATGTGTGTTTGTTAAGCAGTTGAATTGCTCTTTTCAGGGGCTTTACCCAGTTTTATATGTGGTTATTTACCCTTGTGTTGGTGGTCGAGGCTTCAAAAAACCAGCAAGTATGTTGATGACATTTATGCATTTGTGTGAGATTCTGTATGTACGCATTCAATAATTTTCAAATTGCTTTATAAAAAATACAGGACATAATTTTATCAGGTAAGACTTATAAAGTAAGTTGCAATCTGAATACAAAAACTCTGACTATATACTTTGTGAACTCATATCTAAAAATATCTACTTGTTTTAATATAACAATCAGTTAACTGTTCTCTATCTTCATGGAAGAACAAGAAAATTGGATTCTTTTAAATTCAAAAGTAAGGAATGGTGGGTAAGAATTAAGTTTAGGCTTAAAAGGTAAAGAAAAATGATCTTGAGACTTTCCCAAACTAAAACATTAAGTCTAAAATATTTAACTGATGAAGAATATTCCTTTTATTTGTTACTTTTAGGATAGTTATTCCATAATAGTAATCCTACTTTAACATTTCAACCAACCTTCCCTTCTTAAAAAAACTTTTTCCTGGAGCCTGAGTGGCTCAGTTGGCTAAACGTCTGACTCTTGATTTTGGCTCAGGTCCTCATCTCAGGGTTGTGAGATCGAGCCCTGCATGGGGCTCCATGTTGGGCATGGAGCCTGCTGAAGATTCTCTCTCTCCCTCTCCCTCTGTCCTTCCCACCTCTCTCTCTCTCTCTCTCTCTCTCTCTCAAAAATAAATAAATAAATAAATAAATAAATAACCCTTTTTCCTGAAATTTTAGAAAACAAATTATAATCCTTGACAAATGAAATCTAGGATGATTGTATTTTATGCCTCTGGACTTTTTTTTTTTTAATAAAAGAAAATGATACTTTTAAAATGAATGGCAAAACAAATTCAGAAAACAGGATGCAAACATCTTGAAGAGAAAAACAAAGGGGAAATATCTATGGCTTGCCGAACGCTTGAAGTTTTCCAGAGTGGAAATCATTCAAAAGGCTGAGAAGCCCTCTCTCCATCTCCTGAACGTCTGAGACATCGGTGAGGAAAGAGTGCTGAATGGGAGCTGGTTGTGCACCTTTTCCTTCTCCACCCTGGGGTCTGGTCTTTTCTTTCATCACTCTGCAAAGATGATGCAATAAAAACATTAACTGCATACGATTATCTTTTAAAAAGTGAGAATTATACATATATATAATATATATATTATCTTGCTTTCCAAATATCTTAATAGTACAGAATACTCACATACATGTAGCAGTATTATATATCACATTTAAATTTGTTGCTCCTGTTTCCTTTAGAGCCTCAAGAATAATGATGTTCACCAAATATTAATAACATGTAGTTCTAGGTGGTAGGATTTTAATGTTTTAACTTTCTTCTTTGAACTTTTCCTGTGTTTGAATTTTTACAATAAATACAAATCATTTCTATGACAACAATGAAGCCACCCTTTTTTAAAAAAATAAAATTAACAAAGCACTCTCAGCTTAGTTAAAAAAAAAAAAAAAACCTGTATATTTTGTTCCCTTTTCTGGCTAGTGCATCAACAGTGTCCATAAGTTTTCTCATTCTATTTTAATAGGAGACAAAGTAAGGGCCTTCAAACCGATCATTCATTCTGCATGTTCTAATCCCTACACACTGTTACCTTCATAACGTTTTTTCTAAATCACATATAATATGTGCCTCAACTGTTTTAAAAGTTAAGCCAAGAGAAAAAAAGTGTTACAAGAATTACTGGATTTAGTATTTACTTTGATAGCATGTTGCTGTGATAATATGAAAGAAAAAAAAATTCACCTTTTTAACTTTGGTCGCTGTGAAGTTGACTGTGATGCAGGATTTGAAAACCCTGTGCTTTTACTAACTGGAATGGCATTTTTTTTGGCATTAACAACCTGAGTAGAGTGGACACTGAAAGACTTAGGACTCCTCCTCTTCACTTTCCGCTCCTCCATTGTTCTAAGTTCCCTATTGCACCAAGGCCAGCTTCCTGTGACCTAAGGAAATACAGCAAAATTATACATACATGCTAGAATATACAAAAATGAAAGAGGTTTAAAGACCCATTTCATAGGCTGATAGCAATATATCAAGAATTTATTCACTCATCCCACAAATATTTACTCTATTCCACCTGCCAGGCACTATTCTGGATATTGGGAAGAAGGTAGTGAACATGACAAAGTTCCTGTCCTCAAAAAGCCTACATTATAGAAGGGGAACAATACATAAAAATATGAACAAAATAGCCATGTGATATTCTCAGCCTGACTCAAGCTCTAGGTGGTCTTTAGATCTCCCTGCTTAAATTTATTCTTAGAAGAACCAACTAGATTCAAACAGATGTATAACTGAAAGGGGTATCTGCATTTTAACTAATAACTAGAAATCTTATTTCAACCACCATGCAGAAACTCAGTCTCTGCCTAAGGATAAAACTGATCCTAGGTCCTTGATCAATTTAAGTTCTATAAAATTAAATTTGTTTCATGACTATTTTGAATATACTTTCTCTACCTATTTCCAAGGATACACGAAAATGTATTATATATGTTTAGGTTTGCTAGTATCAAAAAAGTTACACTATGAAGTTCCAGCTGGCCCTTCCATAGAGAACACAGGTCCAATATTCCCCCCTTCCTTCATGTATTGATCAGCTTTATTTTCCTAAGAGCCATCTATCAAAAAATACCCTTCTACATTTTCTTTTTACTTATGCACACTATTAAATTCTTAATTATATTGTTTTCCGTATCATGAGATGAGAAATTTACATGGCTATTTACCTCATCAGACTGTAAAGTGCCTTAGCAGTATTAGCCCTTTCTGTGTACATTGTGTGGAATCTAACCATGCTATGACCATTCCAAAAGATTCAAATCCACTGATTACACTCCTAACATAATTGAGAATTTTAATGAAAACAGATTTTTTGCCCTTATCTAAACTTGGTGCCACTAGCACTGGAATTTAAACCATTTCAGCTCAGTTGACTCAGGCTGACTCTAGACAATCACAACTGGAACTATGATACTTCCAGAGAAGAAAAGGTTTTAAAGGAAAGGCTGTAATGACCAGTCTTTAATCCTAGATACCAAGTGTAAATTCATTCAAATCCTGGCTAACAATTTTTCCTTTAGTAACAGAACAGACATTTTGGCATTGTTTCAGCATGCAACACAAATTAAATGGAATTTTAATAAGCAACTGAATAGAGACAATGGGTATCAGTTCTCCAAAGAGGTAAGGATCTGTATAAACTTGTGTTACACATAAACACATTAACCTTCGAATTTAGTGATGCTAATGAACATTTGGTGATATAAGAAAAAGAAAAAAAAACCCCTAGGAAGTAAAGTAATGCAAATAAACCAACAGTGGCTTAAACTATGATGTATTGAAGGGCCAAGGCCCGAAATTTATCCGTTTTTGGAAGGCAAATCACTGCCACAAGAGAACCGAAATCTTTCCTGTCACGTAGCAAGGAAGCTTTTAAAGAAGGCCTTCGCAGACTGCTCATAGTTACTCACACACTTGGTTTTGACTGCCAGGAACCTACAGCCTCCAAACAGGACCACTAGGAGCCCCTCTTGACTTCACCTCATTCCCTCTCCCCAATCAGCCGACACGGTGACCCTTCAGCTCTCCGAATTCAGCAATGGCCAGAGCGGGTGGTGGAAGGGGCCTAACAGGGACACTGCGGGAGCGCTTTTCCTTCCACTTCATACCTGAGGAAGGAGAAGATCGGGGTCCTGTTCCTCAACCTGCAAAGACCCCGGAGCCTCCGAAGCCGCCGCCGCAGCTGCAGCCGCCGACGCTACTGCTGCAGCTTGAGCCGGGGTCACATCCCGGCCCCAGGTCCTCCACAGCTCCTTTTGTTTACGGAAGTGATGTGAGGAGGCGGAGCCTCCGTGCCCCTGGCTGGAGCCTCGCCTCTTCCTGGCCCGCCAGTGCGGCTCCCGTCTCCGCCCTTGGTATCTCATTGCTTCCACTCTCCTGCCCTCAACTGTACTTTAGGCGGACCATGGAAAGGGAGACTCATAGTTGGGCTTTTATTTTGGGTTCTGTGGCCCAGACGCACAGAGCGCTAAGGGATGGCAGTAGAGGCAGGAACGGGAAACTCAGGGCCCTTTCCGGAAGCTGCCCCGCCCCCTGGGTGAGTGTCAGTTCCCACGCACTACAATTCCCAGCATGCTATTCGAGCAAGCCCGGAGGTGGAACCGGAGTGTCGCCATAGCAACTGAATCAACTACCTCGCCGGGACGTCTCAAGGTAAACCAACTTTAGCTTGGAAGGCAGCGTGGAAAACCGCGATTCTGTCTAGCGACCCGGCCAAGCCCCTAAATGAGATTTTATTACTATTAAAAGCTACTCTGTTCAGGCCCTAGGCATACGTTATCTCTCACCCTCACTATAGTTGTACGAGGTAGGTGTTAATAATCCCCGTTTTAGAGACGAGGACTCTTGACACTCGGAAAGGCTTAATAAATCCACCTCTGTCTGTCACCAAGACAGTTCTTCCATTATACATATTTCTTCTGGAGAAGGAATTGTGGGTTGTGAGAGATGGACTATCCTAAATGAGGGGAGAAATCCATGTTTCATTCCCTAGTCTGGATATTATTTACCGTGTGGTGTTAGAGTTGGGGAGGTTTTAGGTTTGTAGATCTTTAGAGACTCTGGATAGTTTTAGGTTTATAGATCTTGTAGATAGTACCACATATTTCTCCTGAATTTGCTACTGAGGAAACTGTATCTAGAGACTGATATCAATATATCAATGCTAGAGAGGCAGAGTAAAGGAGAAGCCAAGTATTCTAGTTTGGGATGTTTTGCCACCACCACTCCCTCCATTTTTAAAAATTTGGAAATGTTTTTTTTTTTTTTTTTTTTTTAAAGATTTTATTTATTTATTTGAGAGAGAGAGAATGAGAGACAGAGAGCACGAGAGGGAAGAGGGTCAGAGGGAGAAGCAGACTCCCTGCCGAGCAGGGAGCCCGATGTGGGACTCGATCCCGGGACTCCAGGATCATGACCTGAGCCGAAGGCAGTTGCTTAACCAACTGAGCCACCCAGGCGCCCCTGGAAATGTTTTAAAAAGAAAAACAGAATGAACATTCATGTATACCATCAGAATGGTAAGATGTTATATTTTGTCCTTTTATATTTTTAAATGAAAGAAATAGAACATTACAGAATAAGTGGGTGCCCCTATTCCCTGTACCACTCTACTTCCCTTCTGAGAGGCAACTATGATCTTAAATTTGATAAGCAGCTTGTTAATCTAGGTTTGCTTTCACTATTACTATGTGTTTATAAGCAATATATAGAATGACTGGGCTTTTGAAGTTTTACACGAATATTTTGTGTATTGATCTACAGCGTGGCTTTTTCATTCAACTCTGTTTTTGAGATCTATCCACATCGATACATATGGCTAGACTTCATTTGTTTTGGCTATAGAGTATTCTGTCAAATAAGTTTCCCACACATTATTTGGGAATTCCTCTAGTGATGGATAAATTTAGTTTGTTTCCCATTTCTCACCATTACAAACAGTGTTGTAGGGTACAATCTTCTCGGTATCTTTTCTCAATGTATCTTAACTAATCTCTGAATTATTTTATCTGTATGAGCAGAGCTTGCAAACTGGTGATTCACATGCTATTCTAATTTTTTTCAGATTGGTTGCTAACAGTTAAAATGGAAGGAATACAATAAATGGATGTCTTCTCATTCATTTGGCATTCTAATCATAATGGGAAGATCTGAGCACACTAGATCGGCACTGTAACCTGGCATCAATAGGTCAAGCTGCCAAGTGACTCTTTCCTTTGGATCATTTCAATTGCTTTCTAGTTTTTCTCTAAGTCCTTCTGCCTTTAGTATTCATCTGAAGTCTCTGGTATTTACATTTGCAACCCCTAATATAATGTAGGGACACAAGAAGATATCCATACAAATGTACATATTTCAGGTCTTCAGAGTTCTGTATGAGTCCCTTTTTTGGCCAGAGACTGTTGTAGGAGGTCAGAGGGCATCTATGAACCAGATGGATAAAAGCCCTATCGTGAGATATGAGGAATTCTTAATCTCAGGAAACAAACTGAGTGTTACTGGAGTGGTTGGGGGTGGGAGGGATGGGGTGGCTGGGTGATAGACATTGGGGAGGGTATGTGCTACGGTGAGCGCTGTGAATTGTGCAAGACTGTTGAATCACAGATCTGTACTTCTGAAACAAATAACGCAACATATTTTAAGAAAAAAGAAAAAGAAGAAGATAACAGGAGAGGAAGAAAAGGGGAGTATGTCAGAGGGGGAGATGAACCATGAGAGATGATGGACTCTGAAAAACAAACTGAGGGTTCTAGAGGGGAGGGGGGGAGGGGGATGGGTTATCCTGGTGATGGGTATTGAGGAGGGCACGTTCTGCATGGAGCACTGGGTGTTATGAACAAACAATGAATCATGGAACACTGCACCAAAAACTAATGATGTAATATATGGTGATTAACATAACAATAAAAAAATTTAAAAAAAAAGCCCTATAGTGAGAGAGCTTATAATCTTGATAAAGGAGATGAACAATAAATTAGTAAACAAACAAGAGAGTTTCAGTTAGGGAAAAGTTCTCTGAAATAACAGCTTAAGATTATAGGGTGTTACTGTAAGGTGTGGGGTACTGAAGAGGGAGTGTCAGGGAAGGCCCTTCTGAAAAAGCAACTTTAAGGGTTGAGATATGAATGTATTTTACGGCTGGCTGCTTTGGAAAAACAAACAAGGAGCCAGCCGTGGAATGATCTGGAGGAAGACCATCCTTGGGCAAAATATATGGTTAAACCACAGGTCTTTAGGCACAAACGAGCTTGGCATGTTTGAGGAAGCAAGAGGTCTGTGTGGCAGATTGTACTGATTAAGAGATAGAGTGCATGAGATAGCGCCACAGAGGTACAATTTGGAGTGTGATATCTTTTAATTTTTATTTTTTTTTAAATTAGTTTTATTTGATTTAAATTCAGTTAACTAACATATAGTGTATTATCAGTTTCAGAGGTAGAGTTCAGTAATTCATCAGTTATATATAACACCCAGTGCTCATTACATCAGGTCCTTCCTTGATGTCCATCACCCAGTTACCCCATGCCCCCATCCCTTCCCTCCAGCAATCCTCAGTTTGTTTCCTGAGATTAAGAGTCTCTTATGGTTTGTCTCCCTCTCTGATTTCGTCTTGTTTTATTTTTCCCTCTCTTCCCCTGTGCTCCTGTGTTTTGTTTCTTAAATTCCACATAGGAGTGAAATCATGTGATAAATGGCTTTCTCTGGTTGACTTATTTCATTTAGCATAATACCCTCTGTTCCATTCATGTTGTTGCAGATGGTAAGATTTCATTTTTTTTTGATGGCTGAGTTGTATTCCATTGTGTGTGTGTGTGTGTGTGTGTGTGTATACACACACACACACACACACACACATCACATCTTCTTTATCCATTCATCTGTCGATGGACATCTGGGCTCTTTCCATAGTTTGGCTATTGTGAGTATTGCTGCTATAAACATTGAGGTGCAGGTGCCCCTTCAGATCACTATGCTTGCATCTTTTGGGTAAATAGTAGTACAATTGCTGGGTCATAGGGTAGCTCTATTTTTAATTTTTTGAGGAACTGCCATACTCTTTTCCAGAGTGGCTGTACCAGCTTGGAGTATGATTTCTTTTACCTGAAATCTAGAGTTCTTCCCTAAGAGAAATTTTGTTCTTTGAGATTTACTAGAATTTCCTTTAAGCTGCAAAAATCCCTCCTTTGGAATTACTGTTAAATGGACATCTTTTGTAAATTATGCTAATAAGATGCCTTCTTCCTAAGGACAATATTTAAAGGATAAGAGCTTTGATCAACAACACTCTCTAGCCCCACCACTAATATACTCTGTAGCATAGGTAGGCAAGGAGGAGTGCTATTGGTGAATTTCCTGGTAGTGACGGTGATGCCAACATAGCGGTTCACAGGCTCTGGACATAATAAGCCAGAATCTCTTGGGAACTCAGGAATCTCTCTTTTTAAAAAAAAAATATTTTTCTTATGGAAAATTTCAAACATGTATCAAAGAAGACAGAATAGCACAATGAACCCATTGTACCCATCATCCACCTATTGACTCATGACCAATCTTGTTTCACTTAAACCACTCCCCCTACATTTTCTCCTCTTCTCTATTATATTGAAGCAAATCCCAGACATCATTTAATTCATAATATTTCAGTATTGATCCCTAAAAGATAGAAAAAAACATAACCATAATATCACTGTTATTCCAACAGTAATAATTACTCAATATTATTAAACATCCAGTCAATGTTCAAATTTGCAATAGCATCATAAATGTCATCAGTTTTTTTTCACATTTCATTTGAATCAGGAATATTTTTTGTAAGTCCTCAGGTGATGAATGGGTTTGGAGGCCAGTGTTTTACATCCTCATTTCCTAATTTCTTGACATACAAACATGCATTGTCCTTCCCCTTGAGAAGGTCACATTCTAAAGGAAAAGGCAGGTATCTCAACCCAAAGCAAATGGCTATTCTACCTTAGTGCCTGGAAAAGAGTCATCCCGTTGTTGTCCCTATGGTTCTTATAGGGAAGAGGTTTTGTTTTGTTTTTGTTTGGAAGCCTATTCATCATTTGCTAAGTGTTCCTCCCCCTACTTTTCCGCCATACCAGAATGCATAGGCCAGGATAGGTCAGGCTCAATGCTTCTTTGCATGCTTGGCTCTGGAAACAGCTAAGCCCTAAAACAAATGAGCTCGCCATATTCATGAAACTGAAAGAATGCCAGGGTATACTCTAAGATGTACATGTTAGGCATTAGTGAAGGGCTCAAGAATAAACACAGAGATGCTTATAATTGTATTTTACTGCTAGCTGCTTTGGAAAAACAAACAAGGGGTAAACAGCAGACCTGAAAAATTACAAAGACTTAGACATTTACAGAATTCTTACATACATGGCCTTTGATTTATTTGTCTTCTTCATTAGACCATAAGTTCCTGGAGGGCAGATATCATGTTTTTATTTTGTATCTTAAGCACAT